TGTGTGTGTGTGTGGGGTGGGGGTGTGTGTGTGTGTGTGTGTGTGTGTGTGTGTGTGTGTGTGTGTGTGTGTGTGTGTGTGTGTGGTGTGTGTGTGTGTGTGTGTGTGTGTGTGTGTGTGTGTGTGTGTGTGTATGTGTGTGTGTGTGTGTGTGCGCGCGCGCGCACGCATGTAGAGAGAGAATAATTACCCACGAGACACATATGTTAGGTTCCGAATCGATACGTCGTATAGTCGTATGCCGATCATCTGTATGAACGAACTCCTGAATATAGTCACTGGTGGCGACTAAAACCACTAACGATATGATGCAAGTCATTCAGTCACCAGTGGCCTGCTGCCAATTGAATCATTACTCGCATGTAGATGACATGACGCGATATAACTATAGTTGTAACCTCAGCGGCAGCGGCTGCAATCGTTCACGCGGCAGTTAAAATGGCGGCAGGTGCACGTGTAGGCGGGGTGCCACTAAAAGCTAGACTGAAGGGAATAATTGGGTCTAATCTCCATGTCAATTAAACGATTCACATGTTACCACAATTATAGCATATGACATGCTTATTACACTACAGCACATGTAGATTTTGATGTACCTACAAAGTTTCTTGATTAAAAATATTCTGATATCACAAATCAACAGCGTATATAAATCATAGCGTTCACTAAATGTTCTATTAGTTCCTGTTTCAATAATATTAAACTAGTTTAAAATGCGGAATTAAATTCCGATCGGTAAAAACTTGCATCAATACATCTCGACGCAACTTTCATAATCAACAGTACATGATGGTAACAAAAAATCATATAATTCAACAAAATGAACAAATTTCAAGATAATTCAACTGTCACGGCAACGAGCGAACCACTTCGTGATTCATCGTCACATGGCCGATTTCAGTTGGTCTTTGTCTGTCTTCTTTGTCCGCAATCATTTAAAATTCCCTGTGTTTAGCTGCGGCTAATCAGTGATATTCCTGGTGGAGTGTTCTATAACGTCACATGACTAACGCACGAGGCTCATGCCGCGCACTATTGTCTTTAATAAGGTGACGAGTGACTCACTCGTCCTAGCGCGCGACCACGACGCACCCCGTCATTAACATGGCGCCTGTCAATGCTGAGATCGTGTTTATATATATATATATATATATATATATATATATATATATATATAGCGAGAGAGAGAGAAAGAGAGAGAGAGAGAGCGCGCGAAGGAGAGAGATGGAGAGGCGATATTATTTTTCATGCAATGGCAGCGGGTTTCAGCTATTTCTTAGAATAGGCATCCCGTTAAACCTATCGTTATTTGTCCCTTGTTTCGTCGTATTCGAGTGAAATTAAACGAAACACTCTCCCACTACTCTGCCCACTCTTCCTCACGCCCCTTGATCTCTCTCCAACACTTTCTTCTTTTCTATTCATCGATTTCATACCCTGTTCATTCCCCCTTCTCGCTCCCTCGCTCTATCTATCCCTATTCCTTCTCTCCATTCTTCTTTTCCTTTCCCCCATCCCCACTCCGTTTACTCGCTCTCTCTCGCTTTCTCCTCCGTCGCCCACGCCCTCTTCCTTGCCCAGTCCCCTTGCGCTCTCTCTCTCTCTTCTTATTACCCTCTCTCTTACTCTCTTTGAGATTCGTTATCACGTATTTGTCTGTCGTCGATGGCTCACGTTAATACTAAGCGGCGCTCGCGCGAAATTCAGATAGAGACAAACACATGCGATCCCCCTCGCAAACCCATCTCTCTCTGTGTGTGTGTGTGTGTGTTTCTCTCTCTCTTTTTTCGCCGTCGTTGCCGTTCCATCTTCTATTATCCTTCTTCTATTCACGTACGAGCACTTCTACGAGAGATGGATCGTGAGTCCATGATGCTGGATCCAGGAACTGACCCCAGGCTGCGCGTTGGTCTCGTTGGCGTTACATGAGTGCATCTCATGGCTTCTCACGCGGACGGGCATTCTCTGACCTCGGTCACTGCGTCTGCCATATCGTCGGCACTACACTAGTATACTCGTCGTACGGCCTGTGCACTTGCAAAACCCACTACGTGACCACAGAGCGGCGCGGCGTGATCACACAACAACTACATGTTCAACAGCGTTATAATTGTTAACACGTCCGAATCCGGTTCTATCCCGGACCGTACGCCTTCAGTTCCGTAAACACCTCTGTGAAGAACGTCGGATCGGCGTTGATTTTCAGCATGCTGCCGCTGAGGTCGCTGATTATTCGCAAGCACCGATCCCAGAATTGATCCCTACACTCGTCAACGAGAAACGGCTTCAGCGGATACGAGATCTCGTTGCCCATATACGAGTAGGACAGGTAGAGGCATGTGAGCACCACCGCCTGCAGTTCCAGCTCCGTCTCGACTCCGTCGTGCACGAGCTCCCGCACGAGCATGAAGACGAAGACGACGTTCGCCGGATTGATAAATGCAATGTCCTGCCAGCCCTGTAGTAGCAGCGAGCGGTCGACGCTGCGCAGCCACATGACTGCGTCGCCGCTCTCGAGGTTCTTCAGGCGGAAGCAGCGGCGGCAGAGGAACTCTCCGAGGCAGCGCAGCAGCTCGGACGTGCTCGCCTGTATCACGGTCTTTCTCGCCGGCTTCTCGGCGACGTTGTTGTTCTTTTGGTCGTCGTAGCGCTGTGAGTGCTGGTTGAGATTACTGATCGGGTACTTGAGATTGTAGCACGAGATGCTCTTGGCGATGTTGTTGATGTTCTTGTTGTTCTCGACGTTGTTCAGATTGTCGACCTTCACGCCGATCTGATTCAGCTGGTAGCCCTTGAAGAGCGCGTTCGCCGACTGTGCTTTCTCCTTCGGCGGTTTCTTCCCGGAGACGCTGAACTTTCTCCACGACAGCGTGTTGATGAACAGCGAATGGCGCTTCATCGGATTCTTCTCCTTCTCCTTCTCCTTCTCCTTGTCCTTCTCCCTCTCCTTGGAGTTCTTCGCGTTGTTGAGAGCCTCGTAATTGTAGTTGTTGAGCGCGCAGTCTTCGTACAGCGGCCTTCGCGGCTGCGAAGGAGATATCGATAACACGGTCCCCATCTTGAATCCCGCTGGCGCTCGTCGGTTACACTGCCAGGAAGGAAGCCTCGTCGGAATATCACCGGCTTCAAGCTGTCACCGACGTCCTACCAGCGGCACTGCCTGACTGTCACACTACGCACTATAGCGACGTGCAGGGACTTTAGCGTCAGAATTTCGCGGTCGTGTGCATTCTTCCGACAAACGTGTCCGTCGACATCGGCGTTACTGCACGGCTGAGGAAAATCGTGAGATGATGTATTTATCTATCGATCGTCTGCTCGTCGACCAGTAGCAGCGGCCGACGTCACCGTCCCCGGCGTAATTGCCGATGCATTAGCTTCGCCCCTGCGATGATGTCATTGGGATCCGAAAGGGATTGTGTGGGTGCACGCACACGTGTTAGCTCGTGCGGCCGCATTCCCAATCCGCCCCCTTCATCGATTCATCGCGAAAGCGTGTTCGACGCAATTTACTCCTGTCTGTTCAAATCGGCACGATGCGCGCTTTCGTACATTTTTTTGTAGATTTACCACGGTCGTAGCGGCGTATGGCTTTGCTCATGACATGATTGACCATCAGACATAGTCAAACGTGATATATTTATAGCCATGTTATATCAATAGAACTGCACAAGTCATAAGGGGCTACACATATCGAAGAGCGAGGTGTATAAACTATTTCTAATCAAAAATATTTATAATAAATTGTCGTGTCTACATATCGGCGTTTGACGCCAAAAAAATGTCACGGAAGTAGGTCGTGTTTTATTTGTTAAAATAATGTGCATTACTACTATGTATACTGTCATGTCAACACAACAAAATTCGCTGGCGTGAAAAACATGCTGTCGCCTCCTAATACAAACGCGCACCATGTTGGTAGGTTCACAGTGTAACAGTATTTAGGCGTATTTAGTATAGGCGCGTTGGAAGCTCTTGATGTCGTTTCGACGAGTACGACATGAGTTTACCCCACCACTCGAGTAATTATAAGATAGAGAAGGTCGGCGTATCAGAACATGACTGCGCACTAAATAATGAATGCAGAAATACCGCCAGGACCTCGGCTTTTTATTCCGTTGTCCTACGCAGGCTGAGACCCGGTAGCTAGGTAGATTAGGCGCGACGCTAAGACGATCCTAATTGTGTTCGCTAAAATACAATGACAATAACAATTGAAATGTATAATAGATACCCTTTAAAGGAACAGTAGCCTCTAGGTTCTAGGGTTATTTTCAGCTAATTTAGTTTATAATTGCGCTACATAAAAAGTTTCATGGTTCAATCACCATTAGAAATATTTTTTTTAATGTTTTAAAACTAACGACTACAGTTTGATTACAACGACGGTGGCGCCACTCAAAGCGCACGATCTGAGAAGTTGCGCAAAACCACTTTCCAGCCAAGGGCTACAGACCGAGGGTATTTCTTATTTATTCATTTAAAAGCAAAAGGATTGTAATATCTTATAAACGACATATAGTTTCAGTTATAATATGGATAAATTTGCCCTAAAATGAATATCGTTCGGTTAAATAGCATTTAGGTATAAATATAATTGCACTTTTGTGATTAGCCCTCTGTCATTTACCTGCAAAATAAAAATGCAAATACGCAACTTTTTCAGGGTGGCAGCACGGTCGCGGGTGTCATGGCGCCGTTCAAATTTCGTAGCGTTGATGTGTAAATAATTAATTAAGTATCTGGTGACAAATACATGTGGTTATAGACGATTTGTTATACAGTAAGTACAGTTGTATGCAGTAAAATCCTAGAGGCTACTGTCCCTTTAACATTTACCCTTTAAATGTACATTAGGTGGAAGTAGTCGAGGTTTCTATTAATATATGTAAATCGAGTTTTTTCCTCTCAAAAACCGCCCTCCTCTTTTCTCTCTTTCGCTCTCTCTCTCTCTCTTTCTCTCTCTCTCTCTCTCTTTCTCTCTCTCTCTCTCTCTCTCTCTTTCGCTCTCGCTCGCTCTCTTTCGCTCTCTCTTTCGCTCTCTCTCTCTCTCGCTCACTTTCTCTCTCTCTCTGTCTCTCGCTCTCTCTCGCTCTCTCTCTCTCTCTGTCTTTCTCTCACTCTCTCTCTCTCTCTTTCTCTAGACTCTCGTGCACTTATACACACGTGCACGCGCACGCACAGACGCACGCGGGCGTACGCACACACGCACGCGCGTGTACGTGCGTGCGTGCGTGCGTGCGCGTGTGTGGCTTGTTGTGCATGCGCCATTGTAGACACACACATTTACATATCCCTGGCTCTGTGCCTCTGTGTATGCATTTCTTGCATTCTGAATCACCTTTGAGAATCTCCCCCTCGCGGGCTGTCTACATCATCCCTCCACCATTTCTATCGCACCTCTCTCTTCCTCTCTCTCGCTCTCTCGCTCTCTTTCTCTCTTTCTCTCTCTATCTCTCTCTTTCTCTCTCTCTCTCTCTCTCTCTCTCTCATTCTCTCTATCTCTCTCTCGTTGCCTCCTCGGCGATGGATTTTCCTGACCCTCCTACTATGACCGGCTACAGCTTCAATACTGGATATAATCCCGTGCGTTACACCTCTACATGCCTACATGCTCTTTGCCTCGGGCGCCATATTATTAATTAACGAATAATTTTTAATGAAATTCAGCGCTACGCGGTTACGTCAGGTGATGAACGTCAGCAAGATAAGTAGCCCCGATAGCTAGAGGATAATCTGGTCGGCATTATTCGCCATAGACAATGGAACGAGCGCAATCCCGAGTTTCGAAGCACCGTGTTTCCTTAGTCGAAGTTGGGGGAGGAGGATGAGCACTGAGCGACTTCATAATCAATCGCTAGAGACGCGCTGCTCGGTGGTGAGTCATCGGCATGGTTGCGTCCCACGCTCGCGCGCATTGCCCGCGTCTAAGCGGAATGCAAATGCGCGCAGCCACAAAGAAGCTCGTCGGTGGTGTCCTCTAGAAATATTTGCTCGTTCGCTGTACGCGATGAGCTAGTGTGTCGCCGGGTACTCTGTCGGTCTGAATAGTCGACATCAGTAGAATGCCGACGCGAGAACGTACTTGGGCGCGCGGGGGTAGTGGCAGGAGAGGGAGAGGGATGGCGCGAGGAGGAAAGAGGGAGAGAAAGGAGAAATGAAGGGAGATGCGAGGTAGAGGAACATGGAGAGGGAGAGGCAGCGGAAGAGGAAGAGGACAAGAAAAGGGGAGAGAGATAAGGAGGAAGAGGTGGGAGTAAAGAGAAAGAGAGACAGAGAAAGAGGAAAGGAGAGTGGAAGAGGAAGAGGATGCAGGAGAGGGTGAAGGTAGAAAGAGGGTGGTAATAGAAAGAAAGTGATAAAGAGCTATAGAGCGCACACGCGAGACAGCGATAGAGAGGGAGAAAGATTGGGGAGAAACCTACAATGGGAGAGGGAAGTGGTATAGAATGAGAGAGGGAGCCATGGAGATATTGCCAGTGACAGGCTTACAGTAACCGGGTACACACGAGAGAGTGGGCGAGAGTCAGAAAGAGAGTGAGAGAGAACTATTATGGAATCTTGATATTAGCTCTTGATATTAGTAAAGCATACGCAAATCACACGTAGGTGGAACGACAAACACGTGCATTCGCACGGGTTCGTGCGTGTTTGCATTTCCCTATGCATCGGTCCAAAGATTCCGCTGCCTTCCTCCAGCTTCGCTGCTTTTCTCCGCACCCGCCGCCTCCTTTTATCCCCGCTGTCTTCCTCCGTCTGCACTGCTTCCCTACATCTCCGCTGCCTCGCTCCATCCCCGCCGCCTCCTTTTATCCCCGCTGTCTTCCTCCGTCTGCACTGCTTCCCTACATCTCCGCTGCCTCGCTCCATCCCCGCCGCCTCCTTTTATCCCCGCTCTCTTCCTCCGTCTGCACTGCCTCCCTACATCTCCGCTGCCTCGCTCCATCCCCGCCGCCTCCTTTTATCCCCGCTCTCTTCCTCCGTCTGCACTGCCTCCCTACATCTCCGCTGCCTCGCTCCATCCCCGCCGCCTCCTTTTATCCCCGCTCTCTTCCTCCGTCTGCACTGCCTCCCTACATCTCCGCTGCCTCGCTCCATCCCCGCCGCCTCCTTTTATCCCCGCTCTCTTCCTCCGTCTGCACTGCC